CCCTGTAGCCTCCACCCCTGTAGCCTCCACCCCTGTAGCCTCTACCACTGTAGCCTCCACCCCTGTAGCTTCCACTCCTGAAGCCTCCACCCCTGTAGCCTCCACTCTTATAGCCTCCACCTTGTAGCCTCCACCACTGTAGCCTCCACCCCTGTAGCCTCCACCCCTGTAGCCTCCACCCCTGTAGCCTCCACTCCTGAAGCCTCCACCCCTGTAGCCTCCACTTTTATAGCCTCCACCTTGTAGCCTCCACCACTGTAGCCTCCACCCCTGTAGCCTCCACTCCTGTAGCCTCCACCCCTGTAGCCTCCACCCCTGTAGCCTCCACTCTTATAGCCTCCACCTTGTAGCCTCCACCCCTGCAGGCTCCAGATGCAGAGTGAGTTTTTACCGATGCCGTTGTACTTTGCAGAGCTGTGTTTGCAGCCGTTCAGGTCGTGCAGCTCGTCCAGAGAGAGGTGGTACGGCGGCCTCAGTCTGATCTCCGTCTGCATGTCCGACAGGTTCAGCTTCGTGGACAGAGAGCGCGGGTTGTTGTAGCGCTGCTTTGTCTTCTGAATAAACGTGTCTAAAAGGACCGGAGAAAGCAAAAAAAAACATACTGTTAAAGCATCAGGCTCTGGAAAACGCAATGTTGCCATGACGATTGCGGACAGGCAAGCAGAGATCAGGGATTTTAAAAAAAGTGCTAAAAACCTAAACATGACGATCTCAATGTGGGAATCGTGAATTTGAATCCAAACCAAAGTTATAGCATGAGGGTATGAAGAGATACGCTCACCGAGGAAAGAGCAAGACAAAGGAAAAACCTCTATTTTTTGTGCTTTTTATATCGTTTCCATAAGGGATGCACCGAACCAGCTTTTTGAAGATAAGATTCCAATTTACAAATTCAAAATTCAGTGGAAATTTAAGTAAATATTAAGCTTTTCAAGAGTCAAGATTGTTTATTTATTATAGCCGAGCATCTATGTACTGTGTTTTCCTAACTCTAAGCCGTTATTTGTGGTAGCATTGCAGGATGGGTCAAATACAGAGGACAAATTGCCCACAGGGATAAATAAAGTGTTCCTTGACCTAGTAAGTAAGTAAGTAAGTAATTATTTATATACCGCCTTTTCACTGCAGAGCTGAGTCTCAAAGCGGTTTACAATTGTTATTATTTTTTTTGGGCACTTGTCTCTCACTCCTCACAGAGATGGGAGCGTGGCCAGTACAGGAGGCGCATGCCAGAACTATTTTACATATTTTTAGCGGTAGGGGAAACCGGAGTACCCGGAGGAAACCTACGCAGACACGGGGAGAACATGCAAACTCCACTCAGAAAGGCCCTGGTCCGACCGGGATTCGAACCCAGGACCTTCTTGCTGAGAGGCGAGAGTGCTATCCACTCAGCCACCGTGCCGCCCAACTTTAAATTCTGCTTCTGAAGCAGAGAAATCTTTATTCTTTTCCAAGTATTTACTGTATGTGTCTTTTATGGATAATGTTCCATCTTGATACAGTTTGTGTATTTTTCATCTCTTTGATTTCAAGTAAAAAACAATGCACTCAGTATAATAGTGGTTTTCCTAGCCACCACGGTGCAGGGACCAGAGAGAGAGACCAGAGTGAGAAACTAGAGAGAGACCAGAGACTAGAGAGAGAGACCAGAGCGAGAGACCTGAGAAAGACCAGAGAGAGGCCAGAGAGAGACAAGAGAGAGACCAGAGAGAGAGACCAGAGCGAGAGACCAGAGCACGCGGACGTGGAGGGCCTTTCAGATGCAGAGACGCCCTTCTGACGCCACGCTGTGCTTCCTGAGGGTCCCTGCTGCCCTGTCACACCCTTTTGCCTCCTCCATATTATGGCCATTGTCTTGTCTGCTCACACCCCATGCAGGACACACCATAGGGGGTGGTGCCGGCGCTTCCTGTGTGGAGCAGGCTGTGGCCCCCTCCAATCTGTTGTGGGCGGGACTGACTTTCTTGTTGCTCTGTATACACGAGACTGGGGGCTCGGCCCCCAGAGCTAGGAGATACGACCTGTTGGTATGTGTCTGCTTCTCTCCTCACGCGCGTGTGATTCCATTAAACTTACGCTTTTGACTATGACAAACATCTTTGAGTTTTTCTACTGCATTGGGGTGTAATATTCCTCCACACTTTACATCGTAACAAGGACAGATTTGTTGCTAACATTTTTGCTAAAACCAACTGGAGTTTCCCCCTCGAATGAAGGATTGTGATTGGTTGAAGTACGAGGAGTTTACTTTTCAATGTAAGTCACGAGGAGTCAGAGCGAGTTGGAGCAAAACTTCTTCCAAACTTTCTACAGAACCTTAACCCCCCCTCCCCCCTCCCCTTTAATGATGACTCGATGATGAACTGTCCCCTCAGGAACGTCTGCTGCTGTCGGTGCTTCCACGCCACGTTGCCATGGAGATGAAAGCCGACATCAACGCCAAACAGGAAGACATGATGTTCCATAAGATCTACATCCAAAAGCACGACAACGTGAGGTAAAGAAGGTCCAGCGGACACAAATATTCAAAACACAAAATCGTTTTAGCTTTTGGGCTATTTCTGTTTAGCCCAAAAGCAGAACAGAAAATAAATAAATACATAATTTCAGTATTATCAAAAGCTATGCACAAAACTATTGACATGACTCCTCTCACAGCAGTACTTAGAATTGTTGAGCGAAAGTCAATAACAAGAGAGTCAGAGCGCACTGTTCTACGTTTTGGTGCTTACTTGTGCAAAGACTATTTGTATTAAATTGGAAGCAGTTAGAGCCTCTCCTCATGTGCGCTGGTTTAATGTAATGATCAGTGTGGGCTGGTCTCGGCTCAAAAAGGTCCATGAGCACGAGCGCTGACATACTTGCAATACCACCCCGGGCCTGTGGGGGTGTACCCGGGAGGGGAATTATCCAATGCTTTTGTATGGCGTCTTCTTTCTTCTCGAAAACCTCTTTACAGGATGGTCCAAAAGTGGCTCTTGGCCCAAAGCAGAAGCTGTCAATGCTGAGGGGAATATATAATTTTTGGACCAGTCTAGTTTAGCCGCTGTGGACTTCAGAATGCACTCGTTAAATGAATGGGGCTAGAGCCGGCTAACACATGCGCACATGCGGTTATTCCACAGGGCCATAGACTGTAAATATAGATATGTTTGCAGTCTGTGGTAATGATGCACTTGGATCTGGAGAAGATAAGGTGTTTATACAGAAATGTTTCATTCTGCAGAGAAAACGCTGAAAAAACAGAAAGGAACATTCGCACTTTGATGAGAACACACACCGACAGTTAAAGTGGATTTATGAGGACATACAGGATTGATAAATCTAATACTGTGCATAGTGGGAGACAGTAGCTCAGTTGGTAGAGCATTGGCCCTAGAGCCTGAAGGTCGTGGGTTCGAGCCCACCGCAAGACCTACTTCACGACTCCCACTGATGACTGCTGTCGTTGTGTCCTTGGGCAAGACACTTAATCCCACTTTGCCCGAAGCCCCCACTGAAAGATCTCAGCTCCTGTGGACTCAGCACCTGCAGGAGGATCAGTGAGGGGCTGGTGCTAAGTGAACTGGGTGCAGCTCTGACTGCCACCCCCGACCCAGAAATGGATTAAGGGGAAGAAAATGGATGGATGAATAATACTGTGCATTTAAGTGTTCTGTACTTTCTGTTGGATTGCCAAACTTTAAGAAAATGTGAAAACCCAATAAACAGAATGTAAAAAATATATATTATAAACAAATATTTATATTCTAATATTATTAACATTTCAAACATTTGGAAAATGTAGTTTTTTAAAAGACTTTCTGTTGCAATGTGCATAATTTGAAATGTCTGGGGGAATGTCCGGCCTTTTCTGATCAGGCTGTAGCATCGTGGACTTTTATCATCTTTTTATTTGACATTTTTGCAACTAGTGGCCTCGACTAAACTTCAACACACTCCCATTAAGATACTTCTCTATATCTGTCATCTCTGGTCCCTCTAGTCCAGAACATTCCGTGTCCTACTGGCCGCAGAGCCATGACAGGTGACATAAATCAGAGAGAGGCCAGAGAGAGGCCAGAGAAAGAGACAAGAGAGAGACCAGAGAGAGACCAGAGAGAGAGACCAGAGAGAGACCAGAGAGAGACCAGAGAGAGAGACCAGAGAGAGAGACCAGAGAGAGAGACCAGAGAGAGAGACCAGAGAGAGACCAGAGAGAGACCAGAGAAAGACCAGAGAGAGACCAGAGAGAGACCAGAGAGAGACCAGAGAGAGAGACCAGAGAGAGACCAGAGAGAGACCAGAGAGAGACCAGAGAGAGACCAGAGAGAGACCAGAGAGAGACCAGAGAGAGACCAGAGAGAGAGCCAGAGAGAGGCCAGAGAGAGGCCAGAGAGAGGCCAGAGAGAGAGCCAGAGAGAGGCCAGAGAGAGGCCAGAGAGAGGCCAGAGAGAGAGGCCAGAGAGAGAGACCAGAGAGACCAGAGAGAGACCAGAGAGAGACCAGAGAGAGACCAGAGAGAGAGACCAGAGAGAGAGACCAGAGAGAGACCAGAGAGAGAGACCAGAGAGAGAGACCAGAGAGAGAGACCAGAGAGAGACCAGAGAGAGACCAGAGAGAGACCAGAGAGAGACCAGAGAGAGACCAGAGAGAGGCCAGAGAGAGGCCAGAGAGAGACCAGAGAGAGACCAGAGAGAGACCAGAGAGAGAGACCAGAGAGAGACCAGAGAGAGACCAGAGAGAAGACCAGAGAGAGAGACCAGAGAGAGACCAGAGAGAGACCAGAGAGAGACCAGAGAGAGACCAGAGAGAGACCAGAGAGAGACCAGAGAGAGACCAGAGAGAGACCAGAGAGAGACCAGAGAGAGACCAGAGAGAGACCAGAGAGAGACCAGAGAGAGACCAGAGAGAGACCAGAGAGAGACCAGAGAAAGACCAGAGAGAGACCAGAGAGAGACCAGAGAGAGACCAGAGAGAGGCCAGAGAGAGGCCAGAGAGAGGCCAGAGAGAGGCCAGAGAGAGGCCAGAGAGAGGCCAGAGAGAGGCCAGAGAGAGACCAGAGAGAGACCAGAGAGAGACCAGAGAGAGACCAGAGAGAGACCAGAGAGAGACCAGAGAGAGGCCAGAGAGAGACCAGAGAGAGAGACCAGAGAGAGACCAGAAAGAGACTTAAAGAGAGGCCAGAGAGAGAAGAACCACATATAGTTTTTAGTTTGGCCCCGACCAGAATGAGTTTGACACTCCTTGCATCGACGCTTGAATATATTTTATCTTTTCTTACACATTTCTTACAGTTAGACCGGAGTTGTGCACCTGAATAAAAACATGATGCTTTTACCCGGCAACCAGACCAATCAAGAATCTTCCAAATAAACCTAAAATCAAGAAACATATTCCCAAATTCAAGAGATTCTTGTGCTTATCTTTACAGAAAATCCCCCTTAAGTTTACCGGTTACTCTCAGTCTCCAAATCCAAATGGTGTGAGCGTAAATGTTCGTACATATGCAATAAAAATAAAAGAATTTGAATCTTATTTTTGTGTAATTTATTGGAATTGTCTCCGGTCTGATCCAGGACAGTGTGTCCCATGGTCTCTTTGTGGTCTGTCAATGGGATGTTTCTTTTTTTAAGCTGTGAAATCAGAACAGTCGCTGCTTTGGGGAAATGTCAGGTAAATGTCAGAGTGATCAGAGGGTGATCCAAATGTCCTCAGTCCAAAGAGAGAGAGACCAGAGAGAGAGACCAAAGAGAGAGACCAGAGAGAGAGACCAGAGAGAGACCAGAGAGAGACCAGAGAGAGACCAGAGAGAGAGACCAGAGAGAGAGACCAGAGAGAGACCAGAGAGAGAGACCAGAGAGAGACCAGAGAGAGACCAGAGAGAGAGACCAAAGAGAGAGACCAGAGAGAGAGACCAGAGAGAGAGATCAGAGAGAGAGACCAGAGAGAGACCAGAGAGAGACCAGAGAGAGACCAAAGAGAGAGACCAGAGAGAGAGACCAGAGAGAGAGACAAGAGAGAGAGACCAGAGAGAGACCAGAGAGAGACCAGAGAGAGAGACCAAAGAGAGAGACCAGAGAGAGAGACCAGAGAGAGAGACCAGAGAGAGAGACCAGAGAGAGAGACCAGAGAGAGAGACCAGAGAGAGACCAGAGAGAGACCAGAGAGAGAGACCAGAGAGAGACCAGAGAGAGACCAGAGAGAGACCAGAGAGAGACCAGAGAGAGACCAGAGAGAGAGACCAGAGAGAGAGACCAGAGAGAGAGACCAGAGAGAGAGACCAGAGAGAGAGACCAGAGAGAGACCAGAGAGAGGCCAGAGAGAGACCCAGGAGAGATAAGAGAGAGAGACCAGAGACAGCAACCATACAGAGATTGGTGAGAGACCAAAGAAAGAGAGACCAGAAAGAGCTTCTGCTACTACTACTGCTACTATTACTACTACTACTACTACTACTACTACTACTACTACTATTACTGCTACCACCAAATCCTTGGAGACCCCACATGAATCTCTTACTATGTGAATGTATCCGACGGAGCAGAGTGTGTGGATATAGTGAGGAAATTATAACATAAATATTTTAATTCAACTGGAAATGGAACCAAGATAAACATCCTTTTGTGCGGTTTATTTTTGGAGTTGGGATAATTCCGTTTGAAACGCCTGGACTCATAAACAATCACACACTCTGCCATTTCAATGTCCAACTATTTATTTATTCATGGGTGGCTGAGTGGTTAGCACTCTCGCTTCTCAGCATAGAAGATCCTGGCTGCGAATCCCGGTCGGAAAAGGGTCTTTCTGAGTGGAGTTTGCATGTTCTTCCCGTTTATTTATAGGTTTCCCCTGGGTGCAGCTGTTTTCACTACCACTAAAAACTTGTACAATAGGTAAAATCCTCCAGCTCTGGTCCTGACCAGTGATCAGAGGGTGATCCAAATGTCCTTAGTCCAAAGAGAGAGAGACCAGAGAGAGAGACCAGAGAGAGACCAGAGAGAGACCAGAGAGAGACCAGAGAGAGACCAGAGAGAGACCAGAGAGAGACCAGAGAGAGACTAGAGAGAGACTAGAGAGAGACTAGAGAGAGAGGCCAGAGAGAGAGACCAGAGAGAGACCAGAGAGAGACCAGAGAGAGACCAGAGAGAGACTAGAGAGAGACTAGAGAGAGAGGCCAGAGAGAGAGACCAGAGAGAGACCAGAGAGAGACTAGAGAGAGACTAGAGAGAGAGACCAGAGAGAGACCAGAGAGAGACCAGAGAGAGACCAGAGAGAGACCAGAGAGAGACCAGAGAGAGACTAGAGAGAGACTAGAGAGAGACTAGAGAGAGAGGCCAGAGAGAGAGACCAGAGAGAGACCAGAGAGAGACCAGAGAGAGACTAGAGAGAGAGACCAGAGAGAGACCAGAGAGAGACACCAGAGAGAGAGGCCAGAGAGAGAGACCAGAGAGAGAGACCAGAGAGAGACCAGAGAGAGAGACCAGAGAGAGAGACCAGAGAGAGAGACCAGAGAGA